GACATAAAGTACTTGTAGCAGCCATCATAGGTAAGCTGCCAGGAGGTTTTCATACTTGAATCCTTCTCAATGGTAAAGTGTTCTCTAACTTCTTTAAAAACCTTCCCCATGGTTTCTTCTGAGATGGTACACTTGAAGTCCTTCTCCAATGGGCAGATAAACGCAAGGACATCTTTCACCCAAGGTAGTGACTCATCTGGCATGGCCCAGATCATTCCTAAAGATCCTGCAGGTGTCAACACGCGACAAATCTCCTTTACAGCATCTTGGTTTGCAAACCAGTGGAAACAGTGGGCTGCCACAACTGCATCAACACTTGAGTCTGGAAGAGCTATATTTAACAACACACAAGGAATTTAATGATATTCATATTTCAATGTTCTCAATACATTCTATATTGAATTAGTATTTACTTACCTTTATTTCTTGCAATTTTTTGTGAATTGTCAAGCATTTTACTTGAGAGCCTCTGGCTTGTATATTGGGGACAACCTCATCCCATGGTTTGACATTAATTAATTGATTGATTGATTGATTGATTGATTGATTGATTAATGGATTGATCGATCAATCAATCATTTTGAGGTTGTAGATTTTACATCAGCTTTTTCTGAGGTTTTCTTTTTCAGGTGCAGCATCAGCTGAACATTAACATTTTAAGTTTCAAGTTTATAAAAACCTGTAGATAAAAAATGTTCTACAGGTAGATAGTAGTCAAGTAATCAAGGGATGCTTACACAAGTACAAGTTCTTTCACATCATCGCCTTCACATACAAATTGCAGCAGAGCAGATGGTACTACTCCGGAATAACATTGTGATAAAATTAAGGCTTTTGAATAACAGAGTTTAACTGTCACATGGCCCCCACACCCTCAAATCCTCTTATGGTGGCGGTCACACCAGAGTGACACAAAATAACGTGCAAAATTACTTTTAAGTATTGGGTCACTTCCACGACTAGTTTAGCTAGTGGCTGTACTGATCCAGCAACATGCAAAGGCTAGTTTTCACAGCGCATTCGACAGCTCACTCTCAGATCTCTATCAACTTTGATAGATGGCTCTGGGACTCACTAATCATCAACAATCAGCTAAAAGAAACCATAGGGACACTAGACTAAGTCAGTAGAGTCCATCCATTTCACAAGAACATGTTTAATGTCCAGTTCTCATCATCGAAAGAACTAAACAGGTCCCTATCTCTGAGGTTGGGTAAATTAACCTATTATGCTTTAAACACCATATAACTGAATAAACAGCCCTCTGTATAGTTTTGGTGCCATATTGCGTTTACATGTAAAAGCCACCGGTAGATAATTTTGAGGACTTATATCAAGACTAATATGAAATAATGTAAATTTAGTATGTGAAATAAAGTGGAAAAAAACCCCAGAAAATTACCCTTCTCACTGTTTCTTTTGTGTTTCTGTAATTTCTGTCATAAGAATAACTTTATCAATGTTAAAATTTTCCTTTATTTCAAGCACAAAGTCAATATTATGTAGCTCAATTTATGTTATCCACCATACAAAGTCTTTTTCAACGGTCATGTAATGCTGTAACGCAACAGTGGCACATCCTGACTTAGCAACCCTGGCTTTCTTGTAACATGAGCTAAAGCTGCCTCTTGTTTACTAAGTATGTCAATGATCATGTGATGATGGTACAAAATTATCCCAAGCAGTGCCAGAATGCAAAATAGTGGACTCTTAGTCACAAAATCAATTGTTCTCTGCTCAGAATGTGTCAAGAAAGAAGACATCAGCAATTCCCATGTTTGCTCATTTATTTGCTGTGTTATTGGTGTACGAAAAGTACAAAGATGACGATAGGCAATGCTCAGTAGATCTCTGTAGACT